TCTTCCCTTCTATATAATCCTTATCTTTTAGTTTACTGCTTAAGTTCTTGAAATAAATAATAATAAAAAACGACACTGCTGTCGGATGACTTCTTATGTACAAAGAATTGTACGTATAAGTACACACATACTCGCACACATACCCAGACAAAGCCACAACCGCATACGCATTTGCATACTCATTTGTTTTCGAATTCGCATTCTCATTCGATTCGTATTCGCTTACACATTCACATTAGCATATGCGTACATATACGCATAACCATACCCATAACATACCCATAACATACCCATAACATACCCATAACATACCCATAACATACCCATAACATACCCATAACATACCCATAACATACCCATAACATACCCATAACATACCCATACCCATACCCATACCCATACCCATACCCATACCCATACCCACACCCACACCCATACCCATACCCACACCCACACCCACACCCACACCCATACCCACACCCACACCCACACCCACACCCATACCCACACCCACACCCACACCCACACCCATACCCATACCCACACCCACACCCACACCCATACCCACACCCACACCCACACCCACACCCATACCCACACCCACACCCATACCCACACCCACACCCATACCCACACCCACACCCATACCCACACCCATACCCATACCCGTACCCATACCCATACCCATACCCACACCCACACCCACACCCATACCCATACCCATACCCATACCCATACCCATACCTATACCCATACCCATACCCATACCCATACCCATACCCACACCCACACCCATCAGTATTGTTTTCAGACTATTACATATACCTGTAGATTTATACATATCTACATGCTATATGTATTTTTAAATGTACACGTACATTTAAATTTTATTTTCTCGCGGGCTGCGGTGTGGCGATGGTTCCTTAAGCGTCTACCCAGCGTGGTACCGTCGGTCTTGTACAGGCGAGCAGGTTTTTTTTTTTTTTAATATCACGGACTCGCACGTGCCGCGGTGGAATTCGTCAGGCAGACACGGGTTGGTTCGTGTAGGTGAGCGCTGTTGTTGTTGTCGTTGACGACCGAGTGAGTTACATCTGAACTGGTTTTTGTGGGTTATCGGGAGTGGGTCCTGGGTTATTTGAACTGGTTGCTGAGATATCTGAACTAGTTTGTTTACCGGTGCTTGAGTTGAGGTAGTGATTTACACCCAAGCTGGTTTGTCTTGACGGAGTGGTGGTTTTAAATTGATTTCTGTTTCTGGATTTATTTTCAAGGTAAGAGCTAGTTAATTAAGATATTGGTATTTATTTGGTCTTATTACAAGACTCGCTTACTGCATGTTAATCACCAATCCAAGTTTTACAGTAATAAAAAGTAATCTGCTTAATTAATGACACCAGCAGTTATTGTTGTATTTTATTTTACTAGTATAAAAATTTAAACACGTTTATTTAAGATTTATTTAAGAAACCACGATATCTCACTGTAAACACCTACATAGACAAGCGTCGACAACAGTTTCTTCCAGGCATCTCTTCGATTAGGGGGGGGGGGGGCAGAGCCCCCCGAAGAATGTCCGCCCCCCCCCCCCCGAACGAACGAAATGGAATTTATATAGAAAATATATACATATATACTTATAACAATGACCGCCTCCTGGAAATTTAAGTCCGCGGCCCCGAAAATTTCAAGTGCCCCCCCCCCCCCCCCGAGAAAAAAGTCTGGAAGAAACACTGGTCCACAAACAAAGATATCTATTAATATTTTTTCTGACAGTTAATCAGAAATACGGACAATATAGATTTTACAGACACAAGTCTTCGTCACATAAATAAAAAAAAACATTATATTAAACAAAGACCCTTGTTTGGAGGAACTTAGGTCGCTTAAATTTAGAGATACATTTGTCGTGTAAAGGAATGTTAAGTGCGTCTCTTATGAAACATTCTACATCTGCTTTTAACTGACTTTCACTGCCATCATTGTAAACGGTTTAATTTTTTTTTTACATTTTTGTTTTCTCGATTTTTACGTACTGTACTTTTGCATTTACCAGACCTTCTTTTCATCCTGAAGGCCAAAGACATATATTTCAACTTTTTAAAACTTATTTTTTTCCGCTAATGTGTCGGAGTTGTAAACAACTTTTAAAAAATCAGCAAAAAACTGTTTAGTGAAACTATTTTTTGAATGCTTTAAACCTTTAAGATAAAAATGACCTTGAAATATTCGGGGTTGGGAGGTGGGCGGACTAAAATTTTCGGGGGAGAGGGGGGGGGGGGTCACTGGTAAAAAATATACATTCTATTTCGTGTGGGGGGGGGGGGGTAGATGTTCTTCGCCCTTCCCCCCGCCTTAAGAGATGCCTGAAAGAAACTCTGAATCCTATAAAACACTATCCCAATGGGTTTGTTTTGGTACCCTCATTCAAGTGATATGAGCTTAGGATAAAGCATGGCCAACATGTTTGTGACTTGAGATCCACTGTCACCTATGTATAGGATGAAACATGGACCCAGTGCTTGTAACATGAGAACCATTGTCACACAAATATAGGATACAAAATGGTACCAATGATTGTGACATAAGAACCACTGTCACACAAACGTAGGATAAAACATGGACACAGTGTAACATGAGAGCCCCTGTTACCTAGATATAGGATAAAACATGGTCCCAATGTTTGTGACATGAGAACCACTGTCACACAAACCGAGGTATGCCAGAACAGCAGTATCACCTCCCATGGACCCAGCATGTGTAACATGAGAACCACTGTCACACAAACCGAGGTATGCCAGAACAGCAGTATCACCTCCCATGAACCCAATGATTGTAACATGAGAACCACTGTCACACAAACCGAGGTATGCCAGAACAGCAGTATCACCCCCCATGAACCCAATGATTGTAACATGAGAACCACTGTCACACAAACCGAGGTATGCCAGAACAGCAGTAACACCTCCCATGGACCCAGCGAGTGTGACATGAGAACCGCTGTCACACAGAGGTATGCCAGAACAGCAGTATCACCTCCCATGGACCCAATGATTGTAACATGAGAACCACTGTCACATAACCCGAGGTATGCCAGAACAGCAGTATCACCTCCCATGGACCCAATGATTGTAACATGAGAACCACTGTCACACAAACCGAGGTATGCCAGAACAGCAGTATCACCTCCCATGAACCCAATGATTGTAACATGAGAACCACTGTCACACAGAGGTATGCCAGAACAGCAGTATCACCTCCCATGGACCCAGCGTGTGTAACATGAGAACCACTGTCACACAAACCGAGGTATGCCAGAACAGCAGTATCACCTCCCATGGACCCAATGATTGTAACATGAGAACCACTGTCACATAACCCGAGGTATGCCAGAACAGCAGTATCACCTCCCATGGACCAAATGATTGTAACATGAGAACCACTGTCACACAAACCGAGGTATGCCAGAACAGCAGTATCACCTCCCATTGACCCAATGTTTGTAACATGAGAACCACTGTCACACAAACCGAGGTATGCCAGAACAGCAGTATCACCTCCCATGGACCCAATGTTTCTGACATGAGAACCCCTGTCACACAAACCGTGGTATGCCAGAACAGCAGTATCACCTCCCGTTAGTTTATAAGCGCCACGTCTGGCACCGAGCTTTAAGTAGGTCACGACCTAGAGTTATCGAAACTGTAACATCCGGTGAGAAATGAGGTCACCGTATTGTGTCATCAACTCCTCATCCGGTGAGAGGGGGGGGGGGGGCACTTGAAATTTTCGGGGGGGGGGCGGTAAACTTTTTTCGGGGGGTGGGGGTGGGCGGACACTGTTAAAAGTATATATTTTCTATATAAATTTCATTTCGTTCGGGGGGGGGGGAGGGGCGTGGTAGACTTTTTTCGGGGTGGGGGGGGGGGCAGAGCACCTTCGAAGAGATGCCTAAAAGAAACTCTGCTGCCTGTCATCACTCATCTGAAAATAAATTCGACAAAGGATAAAATAAAAGTGAAAGACCTGGTTATTAGCAACGATAAAGTCTTTTTAAGTAACATGATTTCTTTGTCAAAACTTAACAAAATGTGAGCGTGGTCGTTGACCCCTAGCGGTGGGTTTTACTGGGGTGAAGTGTGATTGGTGAACTCAGGTCGGTGGATTGAGGTTAGTGGATTGAATGTGTATGGAAATAGATGGATTGAATGCGAATGGATGTCAATAGAAATGGGTGGATTATCGTTGTTGGATTAAGGTCGATGGGTTGAAAAAGGTAGATGTAGGTAGATGGATTGAAGAAGGTGGATGTAGGTCAATGGATTGAAGAAGATGGATGTAGGTTGATGGATGGAAGAAGATGGATGTAGGTCGATGGTTGGAAGAAGATGGATGTAGGTTGATGGATGGAAGATGGATGTAGGTCGATGGATTGAATAAGGTGGGTTGAGGTCGGTAAATTGAAATGGTTGGTTGTAGTTAAGTAGATATGAATCTGCTCGGCGAGTTGAGGCTAGTACATTGGGGGTAAAGTTGAATATAAACTCAACGCAGCGGCCCATCAACACGCAACGTTGGGAAATAGATGCAAGAAAACAAAAGCGTGGTAAATAATTTGTACATGTCTTTAATTCATAAAATAAAGTACCCTTTCAGACCGGATGGTCAATGCAGCAGGTGGAGTAGAGTGCACCTTTTTATCTAAAAAAACCCCGGCAAATGAAAGAATAGTGTGATCGGCACACATACAAGATAACTAAAAAAAAAAGCCAAAAAAAAAAAAAAAAAAAAACAACAAAAAAACAAAAAAAACAAAAAAAACAACCAAATTTAACACACACAAAAATGGTTGAGAGGACAGCGTCCACGGACAATCCCCCAACGAAAGCAAAACAAACCGCGATGGTATCTTGTCTTATCAGGGCAGACAATGGGATCGGTTCATGGAGGGTGAGTGGGTTGTTGTGGGCGCCCTTCTGGTAAACACTTGAGTGCAGGCGATGCGGGGGCGCGCCGGCGGCAACAGGAGGAAACCTCACAGCGGCAGTTACCTCACAGCATGCAATAGAAGAAAACCTCACCACGTCAATAGAAGGAAACATCACAGCGGCAGTTACCTGACAGCATGCAATAGAAGAAAACCTCACCACGTCAATAGAAGGAAACATCACAGCGGCAGTTACCTGACAGCATGCAATAGAAGAAAACCTCACCACGTCAATAGAAGGAAACATCACAGCGGCAGTTACCTGACAGCATGCAATAGAAGAAAACCTCACCACGTCAATAGAAGGAAACATCACAGCGGCAGTTACCTGACAGCATGCAATAGAAGAAAACCTCACCACGTCAACAGGAGGAAACCTTACAGCGGCAGTTACCTGACAGCATGCAATAGAAGAAAACCTCACCACGTCAATAGAAGGAAACATCACAGCGGCAGTTACCTGACAGCATGCAATAGAAGAAAACCTCACCACGTCAACAGGAGGAAACCTTACAGCGGCAGTTACCTGACAGCATGCAATAGAAGAAAACCTCGTCACGTCAATAGAAGGAAACCTTACAGCGGCAGTTACCTGACAGCATGCAATAGAAGAAAACCTCGTCACGTCAATAGAAGGAAACCTTACAGCGGCAGTTACCTGACAGCATGCAATAGAAGAAAACCTCGTCACGTCAATAGAAGGAAACATCACCGCGGCAGTAGAAGGAAACCTCACCACGTCAATAGGAGGAAACCTCACAGCGGCAGTAGAAGAAAACCTCACCACGTCAATAGAAGGAAACATCACAGCATGCAATAGAAGAAAACCTCACCACGGCAATAGGAGGAAACATCACCACGTCAATAGAAGGAAACCTCACAGCATGCAATAGAAGAAAACCTCACCACGTTAATAGAAGAAAACCTCACCACGTCAACAGGAGGAAACATCACCACGTAAACAGGAGGAAACATCACCACGTAAACAGGAAGAAACATCACCACGTAAACAGGAAGAAACATCACCACGTAAACAGGAGGAAACAACATCACCACGTAAACAGGAGGAAACCTCACAGCGGCAGTTACCTCACAGCATGCAATAGAAGAAAACCTCGTCACGTCAATAGGAGGAAACACCAGAGCGGCAGTTACCTCACAGCATGCAATTGTGGAAAATCTCAACGCAACAATAGAAGAAAACCTCACCGCGGCAAGAGTAAAGAAGAATGATATCATATTGTACTGATGAACTCGTAGGATGGTGAATACAACGTATCATAAATTGTAGTCAGCGGTTCCTTCTGTAAAGTGCCACTGGCATTCCGGTACGTTTTTCTTAAAATTTAAATTTTTCGATGATACTTTTAATAAAAAAATGAATGTTGTTATGTTGCAACAAAAATAAACGTATTAAAACAGATTTGATGTCAGATTGCATTGTCATCGAGTCTTGAACCACGTGCCAACTTAGAAACGAAACGGTAAGTTATAAGTGCTCGAAATGACACTCGCCCGTTTCGATCAAAAAATATAAATGAAGCAAGTTAAATAAAAGCTTTAGATAAATAAAAATGCAATAGGTGTTTTATTTAGTATTTTTTGCCACTCTGTCTCGAATATTCGTCAGACTTAAACATAAACTTAACCCTAGTCCTAATCCTAGTTCTCTTTTATCTATCATAGCTCTCGTCATAATTCCAGAGCTGATCTTTCACCTAGCCGTAACCATAGTACTGTTCGTTATCTAATCCATACCCTCACACCGATATCTTGAGGAAAAGCAACAACTAACAACACCAATAAATCAACTCGTTACAGCACTGACCCAGTTGAAACTTTTTATCGCTTACAGCCAGTATCAAGATTACACTGGCGTGAAAGGGTGGGCAGGGGGAGGGGGCGAGTGAGGGTGGTGGTGGTGGATTCGTTCCTTAAATGCACTAATAGATATCTTTTAGGGTGAGCAAGTTTTTCTTTCTTTCTGCTTATTAAGTGAACTTTTGTGTTTCTGTATGTGTGTGTGTGTGGGGTGGGGGTGGGGGCGGGGGGGGGGGGGGCCGAGGGTTCACAACAAACGTCCGCCCACTCCACACTATATCCACGCTGTAAACATCCATCGACCTACATCCACCTTCTTACATCCATCAACCTACATCCACCTTTTTCAATCCATCAACCTACATCCACCTTTTTCAATCCATCTACCTACATCTACCTTTTTCAACCATTTATGCACCTCGTTTCTCAATGTGCCCCCGCTGCAAACATCCCAAGCACAAATACAAACTTCCTTCCCAAAAACAATAAAATAAAAATATCTCAGTATAAACAGGTAAACAAACTTTACAACAAAACTCGACGCCATTAATAAAACTCCGCGGCTACACCTTAGCGTCTCATTAACACCTTTCAGATAACCAATTATCGATAAAACACGAACAATCTCTACCAGACCCCCCTTCCCTTCCCCCCTTTGGCTAATGGGTGGCACTACTTTAAGAACGTGGGATGGTCTACTCTATACAGCTGTTCTTGGTATGACGTCGGAAACATTGTTCAGACATTGAGAGTTACACCAAGGGGGTTCACATCCGGCAGTGGAGGAACCAGAGCGGGGGCTCGTGGGGAATATGGGGTTAATTGGTAATTAGTGTAATCAAATACTGAGATAAAAAGATAGTTCGATACGTGTATGATTTATAAACACAAACTCACATACACTGGCACACACATACACAGAATATACAGAATGCATATATACATGGACATTACTATATATATATATATATATATATATATATATATATATATATATATATATATATATATATATATAAATAAATAAATAAATAAATAAATAAATAAATAAATATATATATATATATATATATATATATATATATATATATATATATATATATATATATATATATATATATATATATATATATATATATATGTGTGTGTGTGTATATATGTATATATATATAATATACACACATATATAAAGGTGTGTATACGTGTGTAAATGCAGTGGTAATTAGATAACTATGTTTTTATTAATCAAAAGCTAAAATATATCTACTTTCTGTTTGAATTAATTAAAATATCTGCTTTCTGTTTGACTTAGTTAAAATATCTGCTTTATGTTTGACTTAGTTAAAATATCTGCTTGCTGTGACTTAGTTAAAATATCTGCTTTATGTTTGACTTAGTTAAAATATCTGCTTGCTGTGACTTAGTTAAAATATCTGCTTTGTGTTTGACTTAGTTAAAACATCTACTTTCTGTTTGACTTTGTTAAAATATCTGCTTTTTGTTTGGCTCTTGATGGAGCTCACACCTTGTAACCTGTTTCACAAAAATTCTAAAATTAGATTTCCTAAATCTCGGGACAAGAACCACATTTGTTTTTACAAACACTGGGATGGCCTGTACTTAGTACTGCTATTATTAGGTGCAACACGACTTTCTCTTTATGTACTCTGGTCTCTGGACTGCTAGTTTTAAGGTGCAACACGAAATTCTCTGTATGTACTTGGGACTAGTAGTTTTAAGGTGCAACGCGACTTTGTAATTTTATACTGTTCTAGCAGATATTTTAGCACAAAAATGACGTAATTATTTTCTTTATTTATAACTTTATACTTGAAACACTAGCTGGGGGTTACTTAGTGAAAACGATGTATCGGGAAATCCCGAAGTTGCACCTTCGATAAAAATAGCTAAAGGGTATTTTTATTTCCAGGTTTGAAGATTTTTTTTTAAATTTTGAAAATGCCTTGACGCGAATCTATCTAGATATTTACTCGCTTATTTCCACTTATCTTAATATTAGCTTGCTGGATGGGGAGCGGGGAGGAGAAAGGGGGGGGGGGAGGGTTGGCAATGCGACTTTGATGCTTAGAACCACTTTCTTTCTTGAGAGCTGAAGGAGAAATTTACCTGTTAAACAGGTTTCAAGTTATTTTTTTTAATATTCACTTGTAATCAAAACACAGTTAAGATTAGAAAATTTGGTTAATAAAGAAAAAACAAAATGTTAGTATTCAAGAAAAAAAAAAGTTAAAACAGTTTTACAGAATTTTGAGGGTAGTTTTACTTTGCTTTAATAAACATCTTCACAAACTTTTAATTTTTTTTTAAAGTAATAAAAACAGCTTACAAAATTTATGTTTGAAATGGTGTTTTATAAATGTAACACATATAACAGAATATATATATATATACTCATATATATGTATTTATAAATATATATAGGCCTATATATATATATATATATATATATATATATATATGTATATATATGTATATATATATATATATATATATATATATATATATATATATCAGAGAAAGATGTTTATTATTTACATCTCGTTACATAGCACCATGGTGTTTTGGACGGCGTGGTCGGATGGTAGAGTTCGCAACTGCTAACTTGAAAGTTTTGAGTTCGTATCCCAGGCTGGAGTATGTAAGAGTCCCTGACTTCACCCAGCTCTGATGAGTACCTGACTCATGTTAGAGAAACTTTTAAACAAAGTTTGCTGGGCATATTGCTGACAACAATACCCCCTGTATGCCGTGGTCATTGAAACAGATGAACTCTACTTCATCAGCCTCTTTGTGACTTGAGCCCGGATGTGAAGAGTTGATGATTGAGCGTAATTTAAATTCCGAATCAGACAAAGACATGTATTATTTACATCTTGGGTTTTTTAGAGGGGCTAAAAATAGCATCGTGTCTGTTTCAGTGTAAACGAAAATCGTGCGTTTGTGTTATTTATAAACTAATTAAGTTTTGATGTTGTATATTCCTGACAACTCATCATTGTAGTATGTTTTGTTTATTTGTCTGGGGGGTATTATCAGCTTTCTTTCCTTCCTCTTTTGTGATTATCTAAACATAATCCACGTGAAAGTTGTCTAATTATACGCTCACCTGTTGCCTAATTATTCCCACACCTGTTGTTGTATTATTCATCTACCTTTTGACTTACTATGTACGCATGTTTTGCCTTGATATTCGCACAACTTTTGTCTTGCTATTCCAAAAAATTATATTTGCACTTATTATTTTACCATCCGCTATCTTTGTTTTATTATGTCTGCTCCTATTGTTTTACTATCCTACGCATTTTGTGTTTTTATTAGCGCATCTAATGTCTAATTAGCCGCGCACATTTTGTCTAATTATTTGCATTCTATCGCACTCTAACCACCACTCAAACCATCAGACTCTAACCATCAGACTCAAACCATCACACTAACCTTCACACTAACCATCACACTAACCATCAGACTCTAACCATCACTCAAACCATCAGACTCAAACCATCAGACTCTAACCATCAGACTCTAACCATCACACCCTAACCATCAGACTCTAACCCTCACACTCAAACCATCACACTCTAACCATCACAATAACCATCAGACTCTAACCATCACACTCAAACCATCAGACTCTAACCATCACACTCTAACCATTAGACTCTAACCATACGACTCAAACCATCACACTAACCTTCACACTAACCATCACACTAACCATCAGACTCTAACCATCAGACTCAAACCATCACACTAACCTTCACACTAACCATCACACTAACCATCAGACTCTAACCATCACTCAAACCATACGACTCAAACCATCAGACTCAAACCATCAGACTCTAACCATCAGACTCTAACCATCACACCCTAACCATCACACTCTAACCATCACACTCAAACCATCACACTCTAACCATCACACTCAAACCATCAGACTCTAACCATCACCATCTAACCATCACCATCTAACCATCACACTCTAACCATCAGACTCTAACCATCAGACTCTAACCATCACACTCAAACCATCAGACTCTAACCATCACCATCTAACCATCACACTCTAACCATCACACTCTAACCATCACACTAACCATCAGACTCTAACCATCACACTAACCATCAGACTCTAACCATCAGACTCTAACCATCACACTAACTTTCACACTAACCATCAGACTCTAACCATCAGACTCTAACCATCACACTCTAACCATCACACTAACCATCAGACTCTAACCATCACACTAACCATCAGACT